ATTCAAAGAAATATTGATGCACAGGTGGAAGACAAAATAAAGAGCAATACAGGCGGAGGCACCTACAGCCTTTTGCTACGTTTAAAAGCTATTGCCCATGTTCTGACAACATCGGCTTACTACAAAGAACTTCTACTTTGTGGACCGTTTCTTTTCTCTTTTCCTCAGGGAAACGACAAGAGCAAGGATGGCGGTCTGCTGCCCGACGCTAACGGGACGGACCCAACCCCTCCTGGACAGACAGAGGGCTCCAAGTGGCAGAAACCTCGGCTCACACGTAAATCTCTGATGAAGTGTTGCCTCGTCAAGTGGATTATTGCCAGCACCACGCAACAAGGGCCAGGTACAGGCACATACACTAACACACACACACACACACACACACACACACACACACACACACATGCCAACACCCCACAGACAATGCATTACACTGAACATCTGCAGGATTGTCTGCGACAGCAGGCGAGGAGGGACTCGTGGCAGAGTATGGGTGCAGGCCTTCAATCGCCAGCTCTACAGAATACATACATTTTAAAGCATGCACTTGCCCCATCTACTTCATATATCTGCTATATCTCTCTCTATATGTTCTCGCCCCTTCTTTTTCCTCTAGTGAGTGTTTACAGCGCTGACCTCTCCCTTCAGCAAATGCCACTTTATTTCAGCAGTTAATCAGTCACCGAATGGGCCGCTTTCAATCTATGCTGCTTCATGGAATCAAGTTTGAACCAATACATCTTTTCCTCCACATGTAATGCTCGCTCATCGACTGTTCTCTCTCTCTCTCGCGCTCCTCCTTCTCTAAAACAACCGCACGGAGATGTTGTTTTGTTTCTGCACGCCCACAATCCCTCTGAGAAATAAGAAGAAATGATTTAATCTTAAGGCCTCGTCTCAATCAGCTATAAAAAAATATATGCTTTAAGAGGAAATAATCAATAAATAAGCTGAAAAGATATATGTTTTTCAACATGTTAATGCATCACAAAAGACAGGGATGCATATTTTTAAGGTGAAGAGCACAGTGTCTTCCTACATGCCCCCATTTTCTGGGCTGATCTAAATTATTGACATTATCCTGCTGTGGGGCAGTCAGCTGTGAGCTTGCACTCGACAGGCAGGGCTGCAATCTGTCCATGCAGCATCACACGGATCCTTTTAGGAGCAGGAACAATGTCTTTGAAGAGTTAGATTCATTTGTCCTCAGATGCTTTCGATCTGCGCGGTTGAAAAACACAGTGATGAGCGGACAGAATCGTTTGTGCAGCTTCCAGAAATGACTCACTGTTGTCATCCAGGCTCGTTCGCCTGTTGACGTCCCTCTCTGCCAGTAGACAGATGACCATGTTGATGAAAACAGTCGCAGAACAAACGCTCTCATGCCTGACATCACCTCAAAGGGGTTTGCCCGTAGAACAAATGAATCCCAACACTCATTTGGACACCTGCAAAAGAGGAAGGTCTTGACCTTTTATGAAAAAGGCCTTTGAAGTGCATCAACAGTTGGACTGATTCAGTATTCTACAAACTCAAAAACAGCATTATTAATCGTGTTTTATTTATCAGGCTGTTTGTTTTTAGTCTGGAGATATACTGTATATGGAGGTTTTAGCAACTCCACATGCAACTTGTCTGCCATCTACTGGACTGTAAACAGTATAGCAACCTATCTGTGTCCTGGACAAGCTACTATTACACTAGAAGAAGGTTTACACCTGGTATCATGCATGTGTCCTGAGTGATAGAATCATACATTGGCAGCTCTAAGCGTATAGGGTTTCACACCTGGCCAGATGATACATGACCCCAGTGACCTTTTGTAAATATCTCACCGTCCATTCTTCATGCAAATACACACAGAGCCTCATTCACCTTCATTAGACGTCAAAAACCTTTAAATGATTAAAATTAACAGATGTAAAGATTGAGAACAAATAGAGAGCTGTGTTTTATCATTGAGTGTATGCACTCCACATTGGACTGGATTTTCTGTGATATAGCACAAAAGATCCAAATGATCAACTCACTGATCCATATTTTAAAATGCCCTTGCCCCCCTAGGTGCTGCATTATTGTAAACCATCATAAACCGCTCATGGATCACAACCCCGTCCACGCTGTCTCTCCCTCTTTCCTCATCAGTCTGGCATCGTCCTGTCATTCAGTCTCCTTAGAGAATAAGTACAGGAAATGATATGTACTGTATCTTCTTGCAAATGCAGCTCTAATGCATGAACTACATTTTTAAACACATGCTAAAAATATCCACATGCTTAAACACATGACACATAACAAAAATAAATGCAGGTTGTATTGCTGTGGCTCAGTGGTGGGTCAGTGATCTCTCAGCCAAAAGGTTGGGGGTTCAATCTTCAGCTCTTGCAGCTACTTGTCGAATGTCCTTGGGACACGAATGGCACTGGACCCTAAATTACATTTCCACAGTCTTACTTTTTTTCTACCCTTCTGTTGGGGTGCCATGGTACTTATCCCACCCTATAGGGTGGAGCTAGACAGGCTGTGGTCCGATGATTGGTCGAAAGAATCGTCACTTCCTGTGCCACAGTGGTAATACCTTTTTTTTGGCAGGCTACACTCTGTCGCACTACTATGATGTCCCGCTATTACGTACACATCATTTCCTCACTGGTGCTGAAAGTGACACAGTTATAAAAGTATAATAATATAAAGAGTATTACACTCTCAAGCTGTGTTAGATCACAGAGCATAGGTTTTTAAGATGTCTAGACTGTTGCACTTAAAATGTCACTCTTGACTCGTACTTAAATCAAACAGAGAATAGAGCACTTTTAAAAAAAATACAGGAACACTTTTACAATACTCATCCATTAATTAGCTATCTGATTTCTTTATATTTGTTTCAATATATCCTTGAACAAAATGAGAATTCTGAGATTTTCTAACATACTTTGTTTTTAAACTTTTTTGTATGATAAAAGAATATATATGACATGTTTTATTAAAAAAAAAAAAAAAAAAAACATTTGTGTGCTGTTCTTGTATGATAAAGCGTCCCAGCCCGCCCATGGATCAAGCTGTATGTGTGGTTAGTCCTCTCAATAATGGCATTTTCCTTCCAAAAAGCCAAAAGCCTCAAAGTCAATGAAAGAGCCACAGATAGCACTGAGAAAAAAGCCAAGAGGAAGAGCGCGAAGTTCAGGGTGTTTAACTGTTTGACGAGAGCTTGTGTGACAGTCTATGATGAATGGGCTCGGGCACTGGGCTGTAATGTGGCTCTCACTGCAGCATTAAAACCTGATGGTAAGACCTGAAGGCTGCACTGTCTGCATCTCTGCACGCTTAAGCCACCTCACCCTTGTCTGTATTTAATAGAAGAACAGGGGTAGATCAGCACTTAAGGAGCATTAAACAGTGTAATGCTGCATTATTTTTATGGCAGGCAGTTCCCACATGAGCTCATGCATCTTGCATGTTAGTGTTATAATGGCTGAGTGTGTTTTCTGTCTGCGGAGGTAGAACAAGCACATGTCAAAATACTGCAAAAATACACGTTTATATGCAGAGGTTAACATTTCCTTCTCACTTCATCGCCTCTTTTCTCGCAGTTTAAAATCAGCAATCTTGAATCAGGGGTAAATTATTTTACATAATGCAACATCTTTCCTGACCTAGAACTTTGATTGGTGAGGAGGTATTCCATCAGTGCTGATAATGAATACAACAGTGCTAGTGAATTAAACTAGATGTATCACTCCACATTGTGTTTTCTGAATACTTTATAACTAACATTTAGCATACATGCTTCTGGATTGATCAACAATTCAGGCTTGGGGCAGAAAGCTTCCCTATTTCACCTTTCTGGTCGTGGAGCTTTTTAGAATAGTGCTGAGACTTTTTAGGTTCGTTAGAATCATTTATATCTAAACCAGTTTGTTTTTTCCTGCTTCCATCGCTGCAACACCTGTTGGTTTGACGCTTGCCTGGCAAACTGATGGGCATCCATGAAGGACATGTGGGGCAGCCTTTAAACCACCTACCTCCTCTCGTCAAAACAAATGCAGACCATTATAGACCGGAATTTAATCTTAGAAGGAGGACATGCTGGCTGCTGCATTGTTGTCAGAGAAGCCAGCACTTTAACATTTTATGATTCCTTCATGTCTGATCATATAGTAAGGTGATTTTATGATTTAATTCAGTAGATAGCTTACATATTGATCCTTTAAGAAAACAATAAATCATATTTTGTTTTTTATTACTGTAGGATATGTTGCTTGCAGACAGAAGCTATGTAGAGAATCATACAAGTTATTTTTGGGTGGCACTATACCAGTTTAATCTTTGTTTTAGTAGATGATTAAGACATTCAGACATTAAGGATGAGTCCATTTCCATAATCCCTCCCCTGGTATCCAAATGCATTTCTGGCCCACTTTCTCTGCCTGTTCTAAGACCAGTATTTTAACCCTGGACAATTGATTTGCACTCCACCCTCCTATCCTGCTTAAACTGGGTCCATTATGTTGTGCCGAGTCATCACTTGTGGACTACAGTCTTAACTTCTTTACTCTTATTGTTTTACAGCACAGCACGATCAAGCCTTTCGAACAAAAACTCCTTCAGAACACAGAGAGGACATTATGTGAAGGATTTTACTTCGGCTAAATTTGGCCTCTGAGGTGTGGAGAGCGCAGATAAAATCACTTCAACTTAACTATTCTTAACTACATCATCTTAAACAAAGCACTGGTTTTACAGTCGCAATGGTCACAATGTTTTCCAGCAGAGAGAATCCCTCTCCATTATTGGCCGCGTGCATTGCTGAACAACTCGGTAGACACAGGGAGCGCCACACAGGGCAGGGCCGGCTCCTCCATCCTAAGTGCTGTTCATATCCCAGTCATCAGCAAATGTGGATCAATGCCTGGTTTTACAGCTTTACATCCTTGAAATGACTGAGCAAATAAAAGACAGCGTGGCCTGTCAATCAGAGACTATTAGTAAAGAAATTCCTTCAGTAATGACCTCAAACACACACACACACACACACACACACACACACACACACACACACACAGCTCAGGATAGTATGGGCGATGGAGTGAGCAGGGGTGGAGCCCCAGAGTTGATGGAGTTGTGGGACAGACCCCAGGTCATGATATGCTGACAAACACAAACAGAGATGGATCCTCTGCGATTGGAGACAGCTTTGGATCATCATGGGATATTAAAAGTTTGTCAAATTAAATATTTTTTCAAGAGCAAATGATGGACGTAAGGGCTGTTTGCTTAAAGGAAGATGCTCCGTAGTCAATCTATTAGCTTTTTTTTTTTTTTTCACAAGTGGTCAGTGGTTGATGTCCTAGGTTTCTTTTAAGTGAATAGAAGAGCTGATGCCTGTGCAAAATACTGATAAAAGGAGGTAGCTGGTTGAAGAAGATGATTGGTAGCAGATGATAATCGTGGATACAGGCTGCTCTATCAGATTCAGGATACGTTTTAAATTGTTTCTTCTTTTTTTTTAACCAAAGCTTTTTAAAAAGGCGATCTCTAATGCAAGGCAACAATGGGAACGGATGGGCTGGAAGTAATCGCCATTGCTGTTGTTATTGGTCTGTTTGTTGTCGTGCTCAAACAGTTTGGGGTATGGGAGCCCTTATCTCTGGAAGGTAAGGCATAGATTTCCATTTCCAAAAACCTTGTCATGTGAAGCATGAGAACAATAATCATGTAAAAATATCTGGTGATTTGTTTCTGTCGAATCTGCCGAAATGTTACATTTAAGTTGCACAAATTAAAGGACACTAATATACAAAGACAGGATCAGTTTGATTACTCATTTTCTTGTTCTTTATTTTCTTGTGCATTAACTTTCAAGTACTAAATTCTTTCCTCGAGTGTTTCTCTGATACTGTTTCATTATTGAGCCTAAATATTTGTAACAGAAACAGGAAAATCAGTTAACTCTGAAAAGATCTCTCTGAAGACTGAAGAGATTTTTCGGGGGACATATCAGCCTGTTCATATTGTTTTCATGACAGCCTTAAAAACAATGGGTCTGTCTTTTAACAGGCTGTTCACTGTGTTGGTAAATGTTCAAAATTGTCTATATCAAGCCAAATATTTTAACTTTCTTCCTTCCCTTTCATTTCTTCGTCATCTGTCCTCCACCTCTTCCTGGTTCGCTTTCTTTCAACATCCCATTCGTGTTTTGTTCTGGTAAAGATGGTGAGTATATGGTGGTGTTCCTCTGCAAACAAATATTTTCTGTTGTTTCATGCTGAATGTTTCTGCAAACGTTTTCACCTCTCATTTTTTTCACAGAACTAAAAAGAGTCAGTGTTTTCCCTTTTGCTGATAGAATGAAACAGTTTTTATACTGAAGATGAACGCTTGTCAAACACAGGAGTTACTGATGAGATTAACGAGTACACCGAAATGCAGCTTCATCAATGTTCATTAGTGACACATTTTGCAGATAAACGCATTATTAAAGAGTATTTTAAATACATCTTCATGCCCCTACATGTCCGAGTTACATCCTCATATTCTTCAAGATCCCCATGTTATGCTCATTTTCACCTTCCATGTTGTCAGTCTGTGAAACCTATAGACAGGCTTCACGTGATTAGGAGCTCAAAGAAACTCCTTATTTATTGTATACTTGACCCATAAAAGCCTTTACTTCAGCCTCTGTCTGAAACGGTTTGTCCACTTTCTTCTGATTGGCCAGCTCTCTGGAGGCCTTCCTGGGGGGGGGGGGGGGGGGGCAGAACGCTGCAGGGCTGCCAGTGGAGGGCCTGAAGCCATCTCTTGAAGTTCTTTGTTTCATATCAGAGAGTTTTTGCGGGATTTGCAGAACAAGCCTTTTTATCGCACTCTGCAGAATTGTCCTGAGATTACTCCAACATACTTTTACCTCATGATCCGATACTTTGCCCGCGTTTAGTACTTGTTGTAACGCAATATGTGAGTTTTAAAAATGGGGATCAGCATAATAGGTCAACTTTGAGGAAACTGAATTGGCTTAAGAAATGACGCTCTAAAGTGTAAGGGAGTCCATTTGAACACAGCAAGAGCCCACAATGAGAAATGTAGATTATTCTTATTCTTACACAGTTCATTTTTCTTCAACAATTTTCCCAAACACAGATTTGTCTTATTCATGATTTGTTTCACTGAACTGTCAAAACCAATGTAAATATTTTCTGTTGTGTCTTCTTTTTTTTAATTGTCATTTAACAATGTAATCTCCCACCTATTTCCTTCTCTTACCTTCCTTCTCTAACCCCTCTGTTTCCTTTTCAACCTTTCATTTTCTTTGTCTTAAGATGGTGAGCATTTTCAGTTATGTGCAGTAGTTTTCATTTTCTGCCTCCCATCTTTTTTATTTTGTAGTATTTTCAACTCCTATCCTACCCTTCCTTCCTTTTTTCTGTCTTTCTTGTCTTACGGCTCTGTCCTCCCTCCTTCCCTTCGGCCTTTCTTCCTCCCCCTCTGTCCCTCCTCCACCCCTGTTTTCTTTGCTTCTCGCTGACAGACAGCTGTGACAATGACCTCGAGCTCTCCATGGTGCGGCACCAACCTGAGGGTCTCGACCAGCTCCAGGCGCAGACTCAGTTCACCAGGAAGGAGCTTCAGTCGCTCTACAGAGGCTTCAAAAATGTAGGAAATTTTGATTAAATGTAACCTGAAAGACATGCCCCTGTAAGTGAGCTGAGTTGCAAAGTAATTTGTTTAATTTAGTTTAGTCTGAGAATCCACAACTCCTGGAGTTCTGTGCTCTCACGTCGTCGGACCTTTACCCTCCACCAGCCCGGGGTTAAGATCCGCTCACACGCCCCTCTCCTACCATCTTAAGAGCCAGGCACCTGAACGCCAGACAAATCCACCGCAAACCTCACTCAAACCATCCACGAGCTACAAACATACAAACGTTCTTACATACAAACAAACTTTTTTGACTCTTTACAGCGTCCCAGCAAAACTTAAGTCTCCCACTCCTCAATTCCACATCACCAGTGTCAGACCTGCAGCGTCCCCACACATCAAACCCAGTACTATGCCATCCTGTTTCAGAATCATCTCTTCCCTTTTCTTATGCCATGAAATACCAAATACAAAACAAGCTCATGCATTCCTCATCCCAGCTCCTTTCTCTCCTCTTTTTTTCCACCCTTTCAAATATCATCCTCAATGGCCATTTCAAGCTCATCTAACCTCTATACCTGCCAAAATAGCTGCACAAACCGTTCCCACTGCTACGACTCACAGCAGTGTATCATGCCTTAACTTCTGTTTTCTCACATTTCTCTTTGAACAAGTTAATTTTGACAGCCCTAATTTGAATACAACTAAAGTTGTCAAAAATCTCCAGTTATTCACAGATGGGAAAGCAAAGCTCTGAAGACGTTGTATAGTTCATAGATAAACAGTTTTTATTTGTGTTACAATGTTTCTTTACTGTATTCAGTATCGGCTGAATGCCCACATTTGTGTTGAGTCCATAGAGTGTTTAAATAATCGGAAATCGCCACCGTGACTTCACATAATGGTTTGTTGACTGCATTCTGCATTTTCCAGTTTCCATTTTCTTTATTTGATCCAGAAGGGTCAATTTAACATCAAGAGGGTAACACTGGGGAGGAGAATTGAAGTTAGCCAATCCCTAATCTACAGTCTCTGTACTCACTAACTAGCTGCTGAGATAGTCAACCATTGTGTTTTCAGAGTGAGTGACTGTTTTTGGTAAGGCTGAATAGTTTTAGTTATTTCCCAGAATGAAGAAGCAAAAAGAGCTTATTGGTGAACAACTTAGCTTTCAATGAAGTCTTCTCTCTTTGACCTCCCTTCTTCTCTGCTCTTCTCCGAATCCAATGCACATTCTAATACAAAAAAAAGAATCAATGTTTGAGCAAACACTGAACTGACAAGCCTTACAGTTTGATCATTCAGCGAAAAAAGGACTGATAGGCTTCATGGATGGTCTGTTGCTACAGCACAGCAGGCCATGTATTTATGTGATAATTGCATTTAATATATCCCCAAAGCGCATCGACAACACAAACAGGTGGAGAGGTTCAGTTTAGTGACTGAATCAGCAGAGGGGACACCAAGCAGACTGAAAGCAGCTCCCAGCAGTCCCTCAAAGCGATGACTCCCCAATCGTGCAGATTTTTAAGGCCACTTGTTCAGTTGTCATGAAAAGAAAAATACATTTTAAAGACCAAACAATTTTTGTTCCTTTTTTTAAACAGGTAATTATGCTGTAACATTTGATTTATTTTATGGGGCCGAAAAGGGATTTATTTGCTTCTGGAATCAGCCTCAAGTGGCCACTGGAGGAACTGCAGTTTAGGCACTTCAAGTTTGCTTTGTTTTGCTGCACTAGAGGTTATTGATACTGAGGATTTACTTTTGCTAAGTAGGTGCCTGTTTTGTTTTTAAAGGTTGTGTTCTTAGACATATACACAAGGATGAGAATGCATGAACACAAGAGTTACGTAATGCATCATTTGGCCTATACCACTGATGCGGGTAATGCATATCGACAGTTAGTGACTGTAATGTGCCATTAGAGGATGCGTGCTGCCATTAAAGAAGAAGACAGCATGCTGATGTAAACAAAGCAGGCTTAAGAGTCTTTAAAAGAAAGCGTGCATCTGTTCATGAGGTTCCTGTGACCTTAAGGATCACCTCACATAATGTGGTGAGAAAGTGTTAACAAAACTGTAGTAAAAATCTTCACATGGTACCCTTTAAATAACCCATTTTTTTCACAGCATACATTTTGACTTGACATAGCAGTTGCATTTTATTATGTTCAATTTGCAAAGGCTGCATCCCATTTTGTTGAAGCTTTGTTGAGCCTTGGTTTATTAGTTTCACCTGTTTGTTTTTTCTGGCCAAATTTGTTTGCAACAAACAAAAACATCTGGGTTTTATTCAGCAACTTATTCCACAAAGCAGTTAACTGCATTTCTACAGGGTTTTGATGTTTGTTTTTCTTTTGATGTAACAAGAACAATTTTGCTCTTGCCGTTATGCTTGAAATGAAGTGGCAGCTCTTCAAGGCTGGGGGATAAAAATACTGTGTGTGACTAATGCCATGCCATTTTATCAAATTATACTTTTAAAATCCTATTTGCCGTGGCTTGGTTACTGTTTTGCGATATTGTTTTATTTTTCTTTGAAATTGTCACACTCGCCGCTTAACAAGTGCCACTGAACTACTGATCATGAGGTCTAAAGAATAAACAAAGTGCAGATAGCCTCTGTCAGGATTGAAATGGAATATGTTTCTCTCTTGCCCCCTAGTGGCCATATTCCTGTACTGCAGCAGAAATACAAAAAAAATACTTTTACAAAATATCAGCAACAATTCATTTTTCTGTTATTAAGTAGAAATTGGGTTCACCAAATGAAGAAGAGTGTAGCATACAACAGGGAATTCATTTAGCAAGAATTTGTGGAGCCATGGCAACACTTTTTTGTGCTCTTTTGGCCCTTTGTGAAAGATTGATTTTCACACTCAAGAACGCTTTCATTGGTAATTCAAGTACATTATTATTTTTCATAGCAACATGAAACACAAAATGTGAATTTTCCAGAAAATGAAATAAAGGGAATCAGCTGAAGTCATGTGTGTGTTTGTTCTCTCTCAACAGGAATGTCCCAGTGGGCTCGTGGACGAGGAAACTTTTAAGACGATTTACTCACAGTTCTTCCCTCAAGGAGGTACAGTATTCTACTAATGCTAACACATTGGTTAAACTTCCACTGAATGTTCTGATCATCATTCAGTGACGACTGTCTGTAAGTATTCAAAATGTGTAAACTTTGTAGGGCAGACGCAGGTAGACCTAACTAAGTATAGAATCATGCAAAGCCAACTTCTTTTAATTTCCTCCTCTCACCGATTGTTCTCAGATGCAACCACATATGCACATTTCTTGTTCAATGCGTTTGACATTGACAGAAGTGGATCAATCAGGTTTGAGGTGAGTTAACCTGCACATTCTGTGATACCTTCAGTCATATGTTCTGTTTATGTCTAATGGGTGGCAGGTGTTTCGTTGGAAATAAGCTTGTAGTTAAACTTCTGTTTTCTCTTATAGGACTTTGTGATAGGATTGTCCGTGTTGCTCAGAGGCTCCGTCACAGAGAAACTGCGATGGGCTTTCAACCTGTATGACATCAACAAAGACGGCTACGTTACTAAAGAGGTTCAATCATCACTTTTTGAAGTTGTACCAAAAAGTGCTTCATGGTCCTTATTCCTGTTCTGTATGTCTCTGTGGCTTCCTGCAGGAAATGATGGCAATAATGACGTCCATTTATGACATGATGGGCAGGTATACTTTACCCAATGTACGAGACGATTCACCATCTGAGCATGTGGACAGATTCTTCCAGGTATACAGCAGAGTCTATTGCATCCAGATATTACACAGACACTCAGAAAAAGAGTGGAAAATAAGATTAGAACAAATTAGTTTCATCTCAAATCTCCACATGATGTTTTGACGTTTTACAGAAGATGGATCGAAACAGAGATGGAGTGGTGACAATCGATGAATTCATAGAAACCTGCCAAAAGGTATGCCCGTCGTCAATCCAATTTTCATGCATCTTTTTAAACAAGCAACAACATTTCTTTCTTTGTCTTCTGATATTAGGATGAAAACATAATGGCCTCCATGCAGCTCTTTGAAAATGTCATCTAGTTCCTGCAGAGGGACGTGGATCAGTAATGCCGCACAGTGCTTCCAGCTGCAAGCTCCAAACGCCTGAAATAACTTAATTCATCCTGAAAAAAGGACAAATCTGGGTCATGCAACACATTTGACACATTTAAATACAAAATGGCGACCACTGTTTTTTCCTGTCAACCCGTTCTATGCAGAGGGATGTGCAGAAATCCCTGTGTCAAGTTTCTTTGCATGACAGTTTTACTCTTGTTGTTGCACATGAAGGAAATGTGAAATAAAGACGTCACCGTTGCCAGATGAGCATGAGTGTATGCACAACTTTTTAAAGCATGTGATGAACCACTCACAAGGATTCATTGTTGTCATCTCGGCAAATGACAGTTTGCATATGTGATTTGTTACTGTATAATAGTGTAAAGAAATATATATGTTTCAAAGTTCTTTAGATTGTTGTGTAAATGTGATGCCAAGTCATTGTCATGTTGACCCAAAATATGCTGAAATAAATATAAACCTTCACAAACCGATAAGTCAGTTATGTTCTTTTTTTAAAGCACAATTTCTCCACAAAGACACGCAGTCAGTTTGAAGCAAACGTCATCTAATGGGCCTACAGATGATCTTACCGGGAAAAAATTCTCATCACATTCTGTTTTCATCTTGTTTTTTTCCTGGGAGAACGAACAAAACTTAGATCTGTGGACACAATGGGGTGGGAACTTTCAAAATAAAATACAGAATAAACCATTGTTACTTAAAGCAATTTAAACATCTGAGATATAACAACTGTGCTACTTTATATGTTCATTTCTATTCAATTTAAAACTTCAGCGGGAAACTACAACTACAAGCATTTATAGGTCAATGGAAAAATCGATGTATTAAGCCTTTGTATGTATGATACTGAACAGACTGACACTGTGTCCTAAAGATAGTCTCATAAAACATGATGATAAGTCACCATCACTCAGAGGGAACAATTTAAGAACAATCCTTGTTCTTGTTCCAAAATCTGCTGTTTTGTTGCATCACTGTCTTGGTATTTTGAACAAAAAATGTTCAAATTCAAAAGGCCATCTGTCTCTGATGTGTACTTGTTCATTTGATTCTGATACATGCAGTTCTAGGACTCTAGTTTTGTGATCCTATGGACTCAATATGTCTTCCTTGATGCACATATACTGTATAAATCAACATGTGTAGATTTGTTTTTTCATCATAGGTACAATGCTATAATGACTCAATGGATTTACATACGTACATTTAACATGTCATGTACAATTTATAAATATGAAGGGTTGATGAAGTCCAGAGCTAAAACACCAAATATTACTCTGTGTTTTTATTGTTGTGTTATAATTCTTTAAATACTGACTGAAAAGAAGAACAGAACTGTGCGATTCGGGGATTTGTGAAGCAGACATGTAATTTTTTTTAGACTGAAAAACCAAAGTTTATGCTTCTACGTTGAAGATGAAAAGCTGAGGCTAAACACAGATTACTGGTTCTTACAGTACAAATCGTAAAAAAATTAAATAAAAGCCCCTCCAGATTCAAGTCTTGTTTACTAGCCTGGTGTTGGGTCAAAAAATAAGGATAAAAAACAGAAAGACACAAAAAAATAAAGATAAACTTCAACATCTGTCATAGAAAGACAGAATAAAGCTTGTTTGTCTGCTGCTTAATTACTCTTACTGGTGTATATTTACAATTTTATCATCTTTCCAATCTTTGCTGTGAACGTGTTTTGTTTGAAAATAATCAAAGACCCGCCCTGTATTGACGCCTGTCCCAAATAAAGGCGGAGTCATTTCTTCGACTGACAAAAATAAAAACCTGGCGCTTTTAAGTGTTACAGTATAAAAATGAAACACACACACATAGAAAGAGGGACGCAAACTTAACCAAAACAGAATTTACTTTCATTAAATTTGCATAAAGTCTTCTCTGTCTTGTAATTATAACTCTTCCTCAACTGGCAACCCTCTATCGACAGGACAAGCTAATGAAGTTCAGGTTAATGTCAATAGTAAAACTAATATGTTCCATAACTGATGCGAGAACATAAGAACCGTGTAGTCATTGAATGTATGTAGCTGGAAGTCAACAAACATAGAGGAGGGGCCTACTGTACAATAGGATAAACCTGGGCGTCTACACTGTATGTGATATGCCTCCATCAGCTAAATGATTCAACCTGTAGGGTTTGTTTTTAGGGGAGGAGCTGAGCTGCCTCTGATGTGAACATGCTGTTTGTATGTAAACGATGGTGATTCTAAAATGCTGCTGTGCTGTAAGTGGTTTGAACAAAGGACTGCCGCTCCTGCATCACGACCTCTCAGAGTGACCAACTACTAAAGGTAAAGACTTGTTTACATATAACATTTTATTTATATTTATGATGTTGTTTTCATTTAACTATTTCAAAAACAATGGATGGATAATTGTGAAATTTCGATTTAAGAAGAATTGATCTTCTTGCAATTATACGTGGACCATAACGTAAATATAAATGCAATTGTTAGATTTTACATCTTTGATAAGTTTTGTTACAACAGATGACAAAGTGTACATGAAAACAATTGTCACAAAGGGGAGAATATGCATCACACACATAATGCCCAGCTGATTGCCAGTGTTGACAGAGAATGTGGAAAGTTCTGGATGTCTGTTGTGCTGTTTGTCACGTGACTAGATGTTCAGTCAAAAGCTTTTATACTAGTTTGAATAACAGCCAACATACCTCTCTCTTTGTCATCTGTATAAAAGTGTTTACAGTCCAAAAACTAAGAGAGCATTTTCATTCATTTTCTGCAGGATCAGATCTGCAGAAATGACGGGCCAGCAGAAGCTCCTCTCACTCTGGGTTTGTCTGTTGCTGGTGGCAGCACTGTGCCCGGGTGCACAGTACGCACACTGTAAACGTGGAGGCCTCTTCAAGGGGCGAGGAAAAGGTGATGCAGACAAAGGGCCTCCGTCCCAGGGACGCGGCCTCTCCAAGCACGGCCTGAAGTTGGCGGGAGCAGCGGCAGCCGGGATGCTGGGGGGCACAGGCACCGGATACGGGATGGGGCTCTTTGGTCGACCCAAGCATGGATCTATGAGTCATCATAAAGCAGTCTCTTCCCAGCAAGATCAACGGCTTTACTATGAAAACCGCCAGGGATTTCACAACCAGTCTCTGTGGAGAGCCTTTGTTAACGCGGCGGCCCCGGCTCCTAACGCCTTCCTCACACTGGGACATGTGGTGTCTGTCCTTATAGCAGCATGGATCAGAGACATGTAACACAACAATTAATCACAGCGGTCTGTCTGCAACTCAAATGAAATAAAAGCTTTTTAAAGAAAATGATCTTTTGTTATTTGTCTTATGTGTGTTAGTGTTATTATTTGAGAGTATGCTGTGTTAGAAGAGATACGTTTGAAACAACATTTTACAGTAGCTTTAACAATTCATGAACTTAATCTAACATTACTCATACAAATCCTCATTAATACGGAACTTTGCCTTAGAATCTATTAGGTTGATTTCATGACACTTTCTTTATGGGAAGATTAAACGTTTTGAGACAGTGCTAGAACTAGCATTTCCATATTCAAATAATCTGCAAATTCCCCATTATTCAATAACCTTAATCAGGTGACAATATATATATATATATATATATATTTTGAATACATTTTATTCTAAAAGTACTCAATATGCACACTGTTTCTGTCATGGTTTAATTATTGTTCTCGGTGTTTTTGAACAAGCATTACTGCTGCGTTCATTTAGAGCAGAAAAGGCTGTTCTGCATTTTTCTACAAGACACTCATACAGTAAATTATAAGTGTTGCTATCCTGTAAGAACATCTAATCTCTATTGAGTCCACTTATAATGAGCTCAGAACAACAGCTCTCCTGCTTAATGCTAAGCTAATATGAATCAATTTGAAACGAAAGCTTTCAGCCAAATGCAGTGGAGTAGATTTAGAGTGTCAGGTAATGCAAGAAACAATGTGATGTACTTTGCTGTACACTTTTATTTACTGCTTTTAGAGCAATGTTTGTGACACTCTTTGAATCCCATATATAGATTTGTTTTAAATATATATTACAAAGGAGGGTTGTAACGAGAACATGTGACAGGGTTTGCAAATGTACATTAATAAGGCAGAGAAATCACTGATTTGTTAGTTATTTTATTTAACACATAACATCCATGACAAACCAAAATCAGCCATAGTAGTTGATGAGTACTGAAAGTGTTTACATTTTCAGGTGAGGACCAGAAGATTCACACAGATAATCCTTCTCAGCATGAGCTCAATGACGCAGTCACGGAATATCTAATCCAGAAGGGGAGTAAGTGCACTTCACAGATATCCTACAGCCCAAATAGTACAAAGATGTCAAAATCTAATTTAAATCAATTTATCATTGTTGCCATTATTAAAAAATTAACAGGAGAAACCCCCTCTGTGTAGCACTCAAAAAAATTAACTGGGAGGGGTATAAAATACATGTATGGTTTTAGACCAGCATCGTAAAACCACATCCAGAAAAACAACTTTCCCAATTTTTTTAGTTTTAATTCAATCAGAACTTTTTTTTTTTAGCTTGGGTGAAAATACCTTCAAAATAATTAGAAAGTGCTTTACAAAACCCAGAGAGAAATAAAATACATTACATCAGGCAGGTTTAAAATGAAAGCAAAGGTTAGAAATGACTCTCTAGTGTACAGATCAACAACACTATACACAGTGACACAACTCACTCAGAGTGAAAGGTCCAGAAGAACAAAAGTAATTTGCCATGACAGCCAGGTGGAGTCAAGTTCAGGAAAGGCAAACAAAGATATCTGTAGTAGACCAAACAACTACACCTATTATATCCATCTCATTGTGTTTAAAGATTCAAATGATGACAGTTAGAACATGAGATGTGTTGACCAGTTCAAATCTGTAAAATCAGACAGGAAAGTCTAGAGATTTTTCTAGGAGATTGAACAAGTATTTCCAGGGTTGGCATAGAGATCGGAAGCAATTCTCCACAACATTACAGCAGTGAGACTACGCCCTCTAAAACTTCCACATTTTCTCTAAACCAGCGACTTTTAATCTTCTCTTTGCCAAATTTTTGCTTTTAGTTCCAGCGTAAATCGTATCAAACTGATGTGTAAGAAATGACAATAAGTAAGAGATGAGTAAGGTAAAAGTGCAGATATAAATGACTCATTGGATGCCAGAATATAGGATTAAATTGATGCAGGAGATTTCTGTGCAGAACTTCAATATAGCTTCAGTTTTCAGCAAACTTGTTATGAACAGATAAAGACGCCGCTCAAGACAACAAATGCACTGTTATCAAATAGCTGCAGGCAAAAAAGCAACACCAGAACTCTGCTAATGACGGCATCTGTTGAACGTCAAAGGACACATGTTCACTGATGCCCATTGGCTGTTGAGGGCTGTTACATGCAATCCTACCCACTGTACCTAACAATAAACAAAGTGTGAGTATAAAGTACCTGAGAAGAGTTAGGGCCATTATTCACTTGTTTTCTCATGCAAGTATATAACCGTTTGTTATTATTGTGGTTTACAAAAAAAAAAGAAGGGAATTAGCATTTCATATTTCCCACTGTGGTTGAGTATTTTGCAGCCAAGAGTGAAGTCATAACTGTGGTTTACAAGAAATACTTCAGGGCATGATCTTAATATGCAAGGACCACATTGTGGAGAGAATACAATTATCATGACTTGCCTTTAATTATTCTGTAAGTATTATTAGCTCTCAGTTTTTTTCCCCCAGACTCTGGGGACTCTGGAGTCTTCGACCTCATCTGTCTATATTTATGTTTAAATGTATCCCAATTTAGAAGTGGAACCATGGCTTTAAGATGCTTATATATGATACAAACAGAAAACAGGAATAACCACTTGAAAAAAACCGTCTGATATATTGGAATGTGGAAAGTGAAATAAATGTTGTAATGGTGTTAGTTGGATGTTATTGTAGATAGATCTTATAAAGTTGCATTCCTATTTAAACAGTAGCGTCAAAGTAAACTGTCACAAACAAACAACTAAAATAGCCCTGAATCGCTGTGCATTCAGTGTACAATAACCTGAAGTAAAAAAGTGCAAAACATCTGAGATGAAAAAAAAAAGAATTAGGAGTGAAGCTTGCACATCACAAAACTGAAGATCTAACAAAATCAAAGTTTGACTCCTTTACACATACACATAACTGTATTTTGTCTTGTTACTTAAGTAAATGACTGACTGACCATAAGCACTTTTAAGTGTACAGCTATTGTTTACTATGGGGATAATATACCTTAGCACAATGCAGACATGCAGCTATAATGGAGGAAGTAGAAATCCATATGGGGCCTGGTGAAAGGGAGGATAACTGTTTTACTGGAGAAGAAGCATGCTGGACAGTAGCACACAGAGGGAGGTTAAGAGCTGCATCACACCGTAGCTCGGAGGGCTGTTCCCCCCAGCAGGCGGCATGACTTGTTGCTCAGCTTTTCGTTCCTCCAAAAAGCGCTCGGAGTAGACCATGTACTGTTCAACACAGCGCCGGGCCTTCACTTGCTCAATCAGGGCTGGGTATCCAATCTCCTCAATGCTGACTGTGTCGTCATCCTCCTTATCGCCTCCGGTCGTACCTTTAGGGGTGGTGCTGCTCTGATCTTTCACAGTCCTATTCATGCATTTATCCATGAAGCTGTCATAAGTATCGGCCCTTGGTGGGGGCTTGTAGACATAATCACGGCCAAAGTCTTTTTGGTCTGTAGATTGGGTGCCATAACGACGGTACATGTAGCTGTTGTAATACTGCTCTTCTTCGGGGTTTCGGAAATTGAAATGTGGTCGAGGGAAACGCCCAAGTCCATATCCCACAGCCATTCCAGCTACAGCACCAACACCTGCTGCTAACATGGCTTTTTTAGCAAAACCTGATGACTGAGGCTGGTATCCCATACTCTGTACTGAACGGGAGAAAGGAGAACCCCCTCCCATCCCGTAGCCTCCCTGTCCATAGCCTCCTCCACCAAAGCGAGGACTGAGGATCTTGTTATTCGGGTTCCAGTTGGGGTAACCACCGCCGCCGCCATAACCGCCACCGTAACCGCCACCGTAACCACCACCGTATCCACCACCGTAACCACCACCGTGTCCACCACCGTAACCACCACCGTATCCACCACCTTGACCAGGGTAACCCCCTGGATTGACACCACCCTGACCCCAACCCTGTCCAGTATTTCCACCTCTGACAGGGTAACCACCTGCTGCTGGGTACTGGTTTGGATATCCTCCTTGGTTGGTACCAGCTCTGCCTGGATACTGGTTGGGATAGCCACCTCCTGCTGGGTAGCCTCCAGCAGCTGGATTCTGATTTGGATAATTCCCTCTTCCTGGGTTTTGGGGATACCCTGCTGGGTTTCCGCCTGCTGGATAACCCCCTGCAGGATTCTGGTTTGGATAACCTCCTGCAGGATTCTGGCGTGGATAACCTCCTGCAGGATTCTGGTTTGGAGAACCTCCTGCAGGATTCTGGTTTGGATAACCTCCAGGATTGGCTCTTCCAGGATACTGATTGGGGTAACCACCAGCTCCTGGATTACTTCCAGGATTTTGTCTGGGAACTCCTCCTGGATTAGTATTACCCACTCCTGGATAACTTCCACCACCTGGATAAGGATTGGGGTTTCGGTTGGGATTCTGTGGCTGTCGTGGGTAGTTTCCTGGCTGAGTGGATGGTTTAGTTTGTGTCCCACCCTTGTTGCTGGTGGATGATGTTTTCCTGCTGCTGCTACTGCTGCTGCTGCCGCCTCTCTTAGCCCATGTTGATTGAGTGTTCAACAGTAATAAAACAAGGATGGACACGCGTGTCAACTCACACAACCTCCTCATCATGTCCCTAAAGAGAAAAATGTTTCGAGATATTTGTCAAACACAATCGAGCAGATAAACAACGGCGTCTTATGTTGTTTCCCAGACATCACCCTAGGATGACATGCAAAAAAAGCATCGGGTCACCTTAGGCTTTCCTTTTAATAATGAATAGTCCATGGTCTATTATCGAGTCCTTTAAAATGCGTTTTTAATTGCGTTTCAAAGATGCAGGCTACCATCTCGCACCATTTGGTTTATCTAAAAAAATAAATGAAGTAGCCTAAGGTAACAAAAATGCAATAAAAATTAAAAAAAGGAGAGCCAAACGACATTTCCTAACTACCACGAGTAAAAAAAATAAAATGAAAGAGCTGTTTGATTTAAAAACTGAGTTACAGCCATTGCACCATTCCTCGTTAATAATAACCAACGCTACGTTTAACATAACCACAAACACAATGGTGCGCCGCTCTGTCCTCTGTTCGAGGATAACCCCAAAACACTTAAATAACATCATTATTTCTTCTTACAAAACTATTTCTTACCTTGAACTGACGCCCTATATCTGAATGTTTTGATGGTTAATCGGCTGCAAAGTGTTGATGTCCTCTCTCTCTTTCCCAGCACTGCTATGCTGTAAGGACTACTTGTCGTTGCAGAGCCGTCTAAACGGAGTGAGCTCGTTTTGATGTGCAGCCAAGTACCCCATAGGAAAGGGGGCGGTGACACTTTGCTGTGACTTCAAATTGTGTTACATTTTCCACATTTTGTATGGAAACAATCTTGCAAATCATGGTTTTTAAATAACGTATTCATCTGGAACTGTGGTATTAACGTGGCCTCATTTGCTGTCTGTATGTTGTGTTGTGACTGTGTAACTTTTGCTGCCTCTTGGCCTCCCTTGAAAAAGAGGTTTTTAATCTCAATGGGACTTTCCTGGATAATAAAGGTTAAAAAAATATATATATATTATAAAATTTAAAAAAAATTGTAGGCCAAATGGTGACGACCGGGCGGTCCCGTGATGGAAAACGAACGCGCGTCGGAAGCCTGCGCAGTTCAACCCCTATGAAAGGCTTCTCGGCAGGTCCGGGAACTGCAAGTCCTCTCGGGTCTGCGGGCTGCTCTGCCATTGGATGGTGTCGTTAAATCGTAAGCGTCACGATTCTACACGGCGAAAAACACCCGTATGTACTCGCAGCTTTATGTCCGGTACGATAGTGGAAACATGTCTGGAAGGAGGGAGCCAAGCGGAGGAACATCGTTTATGAAATTCTCACCTGAGTCATAAACTGCACTTTGACCAGGCAGGGCGGACGGTGGCTTTTTTTTTTTTTTTTTAACATTTCACGAGGAGCCAAATTGTTATTTCACGGAAGCGGGACAGTGCGGACCGAATGGACGGATAAAGAAAGAACCGGTGCTTGATCTGAAGAAGCAGCCTAACAGGCAGGCGGGACCGGGACCGGGTAGAGAGAGAGAGAGGGAGGGAGAGAGAGAGAGAGAGAGCGTCTCTACACAAGACAGGGGTATCCTTGCAAGGGGATGTTATCCGTACTGTCTTATGGCAGACTGGTTGCCAGGGCTGTCCTCGGCGGACTCTCTCAGACGGACGGTCGGGACTACAGCCTGATCAGCGCCAGTTGTGGTTTCGGTAAAGACTTCCGAAAGGGGATCCTGAAGAAAGGGATGTGCTACGGCGACGATGCCTGCTTCATTGCACGGAACAGGGCAGCAGATGTTTTGGGTAAGCACACAAGCGAAGAAAAAAAAAAAAAAAACACTGTAGCTGACATGCATTCGTGGGTCACCCCTCCACTCAGATGACCTTCAGGGTCCCCCTTTTGGATGACAACACAACAGCCCCCCCCCCATACTTAAGAAAGAGTCACAACTTTCCTCATCCTGCAGGCTATCACGTTATCCCAGTTCACATCCAAGTAGGGGAAACAGTTAGGGACGTGCAGTGCTTTAGGTTCAGCTGCGCTCATGTCTTTTTGTTAATGTTTTGTGATTTACCTGCGTGCAGCGCGTCGATTTGAGGTGAACCACTGAATGACCTTTCACCTAGAAGAGCTTCAACTGAGGAAGGCAGGACTCTAATGAAAGATATCAGACTAGACGATATAGAGACGCTTGAATATATGTGGGAATGCGTTAAAAAAAGAAAAGAAAAAAAAGCCCCTTCTGCAGCTTCTCAGAGTTATTACTACAATGTCTTGCAAAGGTCAGAATGGTTGAGCATGGAGGCAGCCATGTTTGCTATTAGCGTCTTAGCCTGCCAGCTAAGCGAGGTGTAATTGCTTTGTCCTCTTCATTTCTCAGCCGGCAGGACACAACAAAGATTGCCCCGAATTGGCCTCATGACTTGGTCGACACCACGGCGTTGTGTTTCATAGCTTCTTCTTTTTTTTTTGTTTCCAGTAATTTGAAGTCTTTCATGTTGATGCTATTATTAATATGAAATACAAATGAACAGCTCAGTTGAAACAAAGTATCTCCAGGTTGTAACACGTGACAAAAGAGCGTGCGCGTGGCTGTGAAGTAAAACTCTGAACTCAAATGATTTGGCAAATTTCTGGGAATTTATATGGTCTTTTCTTTGTGTGTGTGTGTTGGGGGGGTAGCTTCGACACGAAATATAAATAGAAAATGAAACCAAAGTTAAAGCTTTGATTTTTGTGTAATAAAATTGGTCATTTGAAAAGTGCATAGTGAACATAACTACAGAAAAACATTATTTTACTCGAAAACAGGGTGATGAGCATAAAATCACTGAGCAAATACTGTAGGAATGCACTATATATATTTTTTCAACCTCGAAATGTGACATTGTTTTTATGGAAAAACAAGTTTACATAATTTCATAATTATTACCTTAAAAGTTAATAGCATGTTACTTAAGCACACATGAGGGAGATTAGTGACTAAAGAAGGGTGATTTATTATTCTGGAGCCCACAACATTTTGTTTACCATATAGTCAGACCGTGCTCTGTTGGTTAAATTATGTGACATCTATTTTAGTGAAATAGTTTTGTGTTCCGCAATAGTGTTTAAAAAAAAAAAAAAAAAATAGAAGTTGTATAACTATGAGATACTAACTAGTGTGCTTTTTAAAAATCTTTATTTTAGAAAGTTGATTAGACATCTCACAGGTTTAAAAAGGCATTTGTTTTTGCCTCAGACGCTGAAAGCTCTATAACTCAACACATAGAGTGAGCCAAAATACAGCAAGTCTAAATTAAAATCCTGGTCCTTTTTGATATGTTATGTTGTTGTCATCCTTTTTTGAACACATGTTCCTCTCCATATAGTCTGTTATTTGATTAATGTACTGTATATGAATACAACTTACTGTCGCAAGATCAAACAAGCATGGCCAAAAGAAACCATTGCCGATAACTTGGTCCTGATATATTTAGAAACTGAAAAATATAGGCATGTAACCAAAAAAAGATGTATCAATATAATTTCCAGTTATTTTGTTGATTAATCAGATGTTACTTGTTTTAGACAATCTCAAATAGATATGTACTTTTAAAGTGTATAAATGGTCAGAATAGATGCTCATTGCCTCTCTGACCATCACCTGATTCATTGATCAATGTATTGTTTCAGCTCTTAAAAAGCCCAGTATTTGCTATCACCATGTATGACGGACTGGACCAGATTGTTTTTGTATTGGTGAGCCCTTTATGAAACAAAAAAATGTCCCCTTTGTCCATCAGGGGTTGCAGACGGCGTTGGTGGTTGGCGTGATTATGGCGTGGACCCTTCTCAGTTCTCTGCCACCTTAATGAGAACCTGTGAGCGACTTGTGAAGGAGGGACGCTTCACTCCAAGTAGTCCAGTGGGTATCCTGACCTCTGGCTACTACGAGCTTCTACAGAACAAAGTCCCCCTACTAGGTGAGTACACACAGAGAAAAGACCACACACTGATGAAGTATTACGGTGCTCACAAATTCAGTGTTGGAGTGAGTTCCCATGTGAACAGACATACTCTGAGTAATAAATAACATAGCTGCAGGATGAGTCAGACTGTGAATAATGGCTTTGCTTGGCTAGATGCGAAACATATTGATATAATATACAGTATCTTCATTTACTTCGGACTGTCATTTCAAGCCACGATATATACACCCCTGTGATGTTTCGCTTTCAGTTTGAATGTCTCAGAGGTGTACTGGGGTTCCATCTTTGGAGGTGGTTATAGGGGTGAGACAGGGTCAGTGTTTGTGCACCGTTGTGGAACCAATATGAATGTACAAAGACGTAATGACAACTGAGCTTAGTTACTGCACTTTTTCGGAAACACAGTCGGAAAGAGCTAATAGGATACACAATGATAGTCCTAATTATCTCGTTTCTTATATCCGGAGAGCTAGCTTCACCCTCTGTATTATTTAGTGTGTGGGCTGTTTGTTACCATTAATTTAGGCTTTGACCTGCATCCTACTTAGTGATGTAATGCCTGTGAGGTAACTAACCACTGAATCAGGCTGCATTTCATTATGACACTTGGATGTTGAGCCGTGTGGGGTTAAACGCGCAGCGTGAACATACTAACCTTACACCAGAATTGGAAAAGGTCAAGAATCTGTCTATGGCCCGACACTGCAGGTGGGTCAGACAGGTTTTTAAAAAGTGTGCACATGCCACACATGTGACCATGGTCGCATATCTTCTGGGTATCCCTGACATGCAGCCAGCCCTAAAAGTTCACCGCCTCCCTCTTGTCACGATGTTTGTCAAATGACCTACTTTTATTTTTGGAAGCTTTGACGACGTCTGCTTTTGACCTTCATTGCTCAAGGTTACTCAGACTGTTGGCACCTAAAGCTGCCGGTTGTTTTTCCTCACTGTTCATGGTGCGAGGCCAGTTAAGTTAGGCCATAGTAATTTCACCCACAGTCATTGGAAGGTGCACACATTGATGCACTGGTTAAGCAGCATTCTCTACTAAGTGTAGTGAAGCACATCAAATCTATGCTTCTTTTCTTCTGTTGTGTTTGTTGTGCTTTTTCTTCCCCCCCCCCCCCCCCCCACCTTTTTATATGTCAATAACTTTTATGTTCCTCTGGTTGTAGGGAGCAGTACAGCCTGTATCGTGGTCTTGGACCGACGGAGTCACCGGCTACACACATGCAACCTTGGTGACTCCGGCTTCCTGGTGGTTCGGGGAGGAGAGGTGGTTCATCGCTCAGACGAGCAGCAGCACTACTTCAACACGCCCTTCCAGCTGTCCATCGCTCCTCCAGGAGCTGAGGGAGTGGTGCTCAGCGACAGGTTAGTATCTCAGCGCTACATACACACTCGCAAATCAGATGTTAGAAAGAATGAAGTCCATGGTGTATTTTACAACATAAGAAAGAAGAAGATATGAAGATATCCTTTATTAATCCCACGAGGGGATACAAACATAGGCTGGAATACACATGCATGCACAAACAGGATCCTATGGACATGCACTAATGGAGAAATGTCAGAGGGAGGGGCTACACATGAAAGAGCGCCCAAAAAGCTGGGGGTTTGGTGCCTTGCTCAAGGGCACATCAGCAGTGCTCAGGAAGTGACCTTGCATCTCTCCAGTCATCCAACTAATTTCCAGACTTGGTCCTCACCAGGACTTGAATCTACAACCCCACCCAAGTGCCAACACCCTGAGCCGCTGCCGCCCCAAACCATGACTTGTTTAGTATATATAGACTTTCCATAGCAAATGGTTCAAACAGGGATTTTCATTTCATTTTGCCCTCATATATGGGAAGTTAACATTCAGGCAGTGTTTGCAGAATAAACAATGACTGCTTTGGTGTCAAAGCGGGCTACACCTCCACATAGCTTGCCAGATATCTATTGGGATGGTGGTAGTTAACTTTTCCGTAGCAATAATACTATCCTCACACTATCATGAGAACATGATACCATATGAAATAGTTGGGGGGGTTTAAAGAATCATCATTAGGTTTGGCTAAATGTTTTATAGTTCGTAGTTTCTCATAAACTTGTTTAAAAGGAGTATTTATCTTGCGCTGTATGAACACACAACTATCTCTGTGGCATTATTTTGAAAATCATGGAGGCCTCAGCAAAAATGAAACTTTATAAATACTACCTTTTTATAAAATGTAGTGTCCTGCCTGCACACAAAACATGCAGTTTGTTTCAGTAGCACAAGACACGATATATAAGCATGCATGCAAGGCAATCCCGATTGGTGTCACAATGTGATTCTAACAATGGCAGCCTGATTAACAAGATAAACCTTTTATAATCCATTAAGAGCCGTCTAGAAGCCTGTTTCGAATTTAATCCTGTCTGGTGTGAAACAAAGTTTAATACTTAGCTGTTAAACCTCCAAACGTTCACTTTAAAGAAACATGAATGGCTCTTTTTTGCAACCTTAGAATAAAACCCTCAGGAGAAGGCACAGACATACAATTAAATGATCCCAGGAAATAAACTTGAGTTTTTGGTATGTTGCCAATAAACACCAGGTCCCTTCTGCGATTGGCAAGGACACGGAGGACAGGCTGCTTCCTAGGCAGCTGTCCGATTAAACGCCCACGCCGCGTCCACCCTCAAGACTTGGCACAGTGACCACTGACTGGCTTAATTCCATGATGGAAACTGTTGACAGCCGCTCAGGCGCTGCATGATCCTGTTTCACCTTTGACTGATCCTGACTTGCCCTTGTGTTTCCCTCCAGTCCTGAAGCAGCGGACAGCTCCTCTTTTGATGTGCAGCTTGGTGACATCATTTTAACGGCAACTGACGGCCTCTTTGACAACATGCCGGACTACATGATTCTGCAGGAGCTAAAAAAACTCAAGGTGCCACATTTATATCTTGCTTACTCAAGCTTTCACACAAACTGTATCCATATAATAAATATATGAGATGTCACTTCTCAAATTCTATTTTTTTTTTCTCATTCTTATTTCAGACTACAAACTATGACAGCATCCTGCAGACTGCACAGAGTATTGCAAAGCAAGCTCATGACCTTGCTTACGACCCCAACTATATGTCGCCTTTCGCACAGTTTGCCTGTGACAATGGCCTGAATGTAAGAGGTATGTATACAGAGCTTTCGGATGCTTTCAAAATTAAAACTCAAGTTAAAACTACTTTGAGTACATGTAAGTCAGTGGAACCAAAATGGCCTCATTCATTATCCCCACACACATCTTAAAAATGTTTTTTCTTTCTCTCTTGCACTGGTTACTCTTGGAGATTTACTCGGCAATTCATAAAGTTTTGTTTTGATGTACATATATTTTAAGTTGATCTTTCACTCAAACAATATTACAGAATAAGTATAATTGTTGTAATTTCACTAGAATTAGACTTAAAAAAACTTAAATTGAAGACTATCTTTGGCTGATTATACAGCTTTAACTGTCTCCATTTGTCCATTTGTCATGGACAGGACATGTTGCTAATTGTTTGGGTTGCTTCTGCAGGGGGGAAGCCAGATGACATCACGGTGCTGCTGTCCATAGTGGCGGAATACACAGACTGAAAATATGTGTGTGTGTGTGTGCGCGCGCTTCTCTGGGGCTGGTCCTTCCCTCTTGTCTGCCTGAGTCTTCCACCTGCGGCCCTCCCCCCTTAAAAAAATGCACCGCATCCTGTGGGCTGACAGGGAAGGCCCTTTAACTCGTCGCACACTCCCTAGCCGGGGGGCTGATGTTCAACTGTGTACATCTTTAGTTCCCTTCCTCTGTTTTGCTTCGGTGCTCCAACGGTTAAGGGGAAGCAGACATAAAGGACCATTTTCATGTTGATCATGATGCAGGAGGAGCCGAGTACAGTGGCCTGAGGGATGCCTTTCAGTCTTGCATGTCCCACTGCACTGCATCAACACTTCTTTGGTAATGGGACTGTTTTGTCTGACTGAGGGCTTTAAAACCTGGAAGCCTCTCTGTGTAAAAAAAAAAAAAGTGAAATAATAAGAGGTGTAAGCCATGGTGTGGATCCTTAAGAGAGTAGTGATAGTGTTGACTTTGAACCCGGCAATCTGTCTCCGTTGTTCCAATCTGTTCCTTGTTGTAAACGTGTTTGAACAAAGCATATAGATGGACTGAGGAAGCTGATACTGGGTGTGGAGAGGGCCTTATTAAAAAAAATAATGTTCAGAGTTTGGTTTGGGAATGTGAGCGATGGTAGAGCTAACGAGTAAAAGCTCAGATTAAATGAATATGTAAAGGAAACTAACACTTGTTTGAGTTTCACTTGAAGGTTGATCCGTTTTCGTCACTTTGCTTGGGGGTCTGTTGGTGCGCACACCCTGATAAGTTGTAAATATTCTTGTGTTTTTAGGGCTACGTTCAGGCCTTTCTGTTGTCTTTGCTTTGGGTGTTAAAGCAATTATTTGGTTACAATTGTGGAAGATGTACACATGCATTCATAACTATATTTTTCTTGTATAGATGTTGATCTTGGAGTGAGCTTTATCTACCCCACACTTCCACTTGCTGAAATGAACAAGAAGATAATGTGTCGAGATTGCTTGTTGCCGTGTCCATGTGGGAGGAAAGCTGTGAAAAGTGTGTGCGTGCATGTGTTTGGCATACATGTGATATATTGTGGTTGGAGTGGGTGGTGTATTTAATGTAAACATCTGATGTCTCACAAAGCTAAATCTAGCATCTGGGAATGCTTACTAATGCAATGATAGGTCAGGCGTGAATTTTAAAGGAAAAGATGTATTTTTTTAACATTATTTAGTTTTAAAGTTAGAGTTTGAATTGTCTGTGTGATGGATGACAAAAGATCCTGCTATCTTTAGAGTCAGGTGTCTGTGTGGGTGTGTACTCTGTTTGTTCCTATGTTCCTTATTTCCCTTTACATTTGTTTGCTGCTCCCAGTGAAGATGTCTGTACTCAACTTGACATGATTTATATAAACGCAATCACCATGATTGTAATATGTGTGCCGCATCACATTACATTAATCAAAGACAATGATAATACTGTTCTGCCTGTGATAGTCCATCCTTTTGTCTAACAGCTCACCCAAGTGGTTTGGACAATGTCTTCAAGGTGAAAAAGTAGGTGCACCAAAGACACATTTTCTATGTGTATGTAATTATGCTTTGTTGTTAAAAACATCAGACAGCAATACTGTAAACTCCATGTGCTCTGAGTTTCGTGTGATGACCAGAAGTGTGGGTGGAAATGTTCAGAGGGACATACAAATATATTTTCTATGCTTACAGTTGTTTTATCAGAACAAAAAGAGTGTACCATATTTAAGTTATATGTGACTGGTTGCAACAAAATACAAGACAGGTTTATGAAACCAAAGAAGGAAAGCCATATTTAGACACATGATTGCTCCGTGAGCCCTGCTGTTAAAACATGTTTTTTTCCCCCTCATATACTTAATGGTGGCAATGATATCTGTCCGTCTTGCACTGTTCTTCTGCATGGTTTCTACACATAGAGGCACTGTTTAAGAAAGTTCAGTTGCTCCTGCTGTTAGAATGGTTTATAAATGTTGTAGAATGGTTCTTGTATTTTCTTCAGTGATAGCCCTATGTTTGACAGAAAGATGGATCCCACATGCAAAAAGAAGCGGTGGTGAAGGAGGTAATGGTGCTGTGAACTTACAGTATGAGGGTGAGCACAGTTTCAGCCTTAACAAATAGCTAGACCTGTAATCAAGAGGCCTTTCCTGTCATTGCAAGCTTGTTTCATCTCGGTCATGTTGTTCAGCATTTGATGTAAATGAAGTCTGCCCGTATGTATCTGTAAAGCTGTTCTCAAAGGTGCTTCTGCAGTCCGTATGTTATGATTGTCATCTTTTCAGCAAGCAATGTTTGTGTGTATGGAAGATACACGTGTCTAATGTGTACCAATGCAGGTCTAATTTCTGTAAATATGTTTAAAAATATGTACAATATTTAAATAAAGAATCTAGTATTTATACTAAATATTCTGTATTTCCATGCTTCCGTTCCATGTTTCTTTGTGTGTTTATTTGATCTCCAGAAACAGATGCACTGTCGCAGAAGACAGTCTTACAAATGTATTGATGGCATTAGAATAATGAAATGGTGTTATGAGGGCAGTCTCACATGGTTTACAAAAATTTGACTTATCTGCTTACTCAATATCCGATTACCAATTTTTTATACTTATGGTAAAAATTACCAAATGAAAAAATGAGATTATTATACCCATTTTTATACCCACTTTGCCCTGACTTCCTACAATTGCAAATATTTCACTGTTTATGTTTACAAGTTATCCCAGCTGGTACATATATTTCTATAACTATAACTGTCAATGAGAGCTCTGAAAGTTTAAAAATCTGCAGTCTGATTTAGAATGGCAAATAAAAGAATATGCATAAAAATAGTAGGCTATATACCATTTTATATGCATTAAAGGCCAACTTAATAAGCCTAACTAACCCTCTTTAACTGTATATAACTGTACAATTACTACTGTGTGGAGCCACAAGTAAATTATAAGCATTATGCAAAAAGCAACCTGGATGGGTTAAGATTTTTATTTTGTGACATAACTTACACTGACATTCTTATTTTTGATATTTTTTAGTACTTATCTACTTTGCAGTAGCTCAGTCTGTAGGGACTTGGGTTGGGAACCAGAGGGTCACCGGTTCAAGTCCCGGTGCAGACCAAGAGGTACCAGATCACCTCCTGAGTACTGCCGAGGTGCCCTTGGCACCAAACCCCCTCCCTGCCATCAACTCAGGAGCGCCCACTGTGGGCCGCTCCGTCACTCTGACATCTCTCCCTTAGTGCATGTTCATAAGATCCTGTTTGTGTGCATGTGTGTATATATACTTCAGCCTATGTGTGTGTTCATGACTACAGAGTGTAAAAACTGAAAGTTCCCCTTGCGAGGATTAATAAAGTAAATCTTCTTCTTATATTGTGTTTAGATTTGCTAACATTGTGTTTTTTTTTACTCATATTGTGTGTTTGGATAACCTGCTGCTGTAACGCCACAATTTCCCAGTTTGGGATCAATAAAGTAATTCTATTATATTCTAACTAAAAAGTAAGTAAGTAAGTAAAGTCTACTTCTCAAGCCAGTAATGGGCACAGGTTAATATACTGAACACTAAATGTAGTTGTAACTTAATATTTTAAAGTCCAAATCACAGCAATGCCATTATAAGCTCTGGATTTTTTATTTTTTTTAACCTAAATTAAATGGGCCCTAGGCTATAAAACTGATTGAATAAGTGTAAGCATTATGCCTGAATTAGTGGTTTTCAGCAGTAGGGGGCACAAGTGAGTCAAAGGATGCTAGGGATGTTTTGTTTACTAATCTGCTCCTGTGTCGCTTCCTTGTAGCCAGCAGCAGCTAACATAACCTACATTGTTGCTGACAGCAGAGAATCTGTGTGTGTCAGCTGACGGTTGTGTGCTGCAGAGCTAAATCTTCGACATAGCTGCGTTAGTAGCTTGACAAGTTAAATTTGTTCGTGTTAATTATGCGTTTTTCCCCATTTAAAGCTATCGCTGGCGATGTGTCTACCCACCGCGGACGTCTTCGTGGAGAGTAAGCCGAGCTTGTGGCGGTCGTAAAGTCTTCGTTATGTGGGCAGATTGTAGACTCTCGTTCAATGTTAAATGTTGACTAAATGGCAAAAACCGAGCAGGGCAATGGACTCGACATGCGGGGCAGCACAGAAAAGCTGACAGATAGCGGGACGGGCGGCTTCAACGGGTCCGACCCAGAGGTACACGGTAATGGCATCGCGGAGGAGACTCAGGTGGACAAGTACGGCTTCGCGGGAGGAGCTCAGCAATCCTCCGGAGACACGTAAGTGGAGCTTCATGCTGCTGAGTCTAAATCTGTTGGTACTTAAACTGACTGAATGTGGTTTCAATTGTATGTTTGTTGCTCTTGCAGCTTCTGAGCTTACACATGGGCCTACTGATAATGTCAATAACCCCTCAGTGATATCTCGAGTCTTCATATTCAGTAATCATAAGAGACAAGCTGAGGACCTACAGTGCAGTCTGCTGCCATGGGAACTGACTGTATGATGTGGAAGAAGGCAAGCAGTTTATAGAGCCACATTGTTGATAGTTGGCTTGTAGCATTTAGTTAATAGCTTCATTTCTTATCACCTGGCGCATTCTTCACCTATGACCCTTAAAAGCAAAGGTAATTTCCCCATACCTTGCCATGGGTTATTTTAACAAGCTGTGAGCGTTTCAAGACGGATTTTACCTTCTTAAACTGACGTTATTTTTTTTTTGCAGCATTAAGGCAAAGCTGTCAACTATAGAAAATTAAATGGGGGGGGGGGGGGGGTGTATGTGAACAGAAAATACTTTCTTCTTACAGAACCTGTCAGTCCACTCTTGTAAAAGGAGCATCTCCTAGGTTAGGAACCACTAACATAGTGCACTGATTCTTCACAAGAACACATTGTTATTATTACTGTTTTAAAGTGTAGTTATTGAGCCTCTGCTCTGGTTGCCTTTCGGTTTGGTTTTCCCGTCATTTAATCCTGCATAAAAGTACACTTTAGTTTTCTTGTATTGTTGCTTTACAGATTTAGAGCAAATTGAATAACTGAACACACCATGCTGCTGGGGGTCAGTGATCTGCTGTAAGATTCCTAGTGGTTGTTATATTTTTGGGACATAACTGAATTAACCTCAGTGCTTGGTCTTCAGTCTCATTTCTTCAGCTATGTTACTGTGAATTATTATTAGTGGTGGTAGACGACTTGTTAACTTCTTTAAGCTGCTGTTTGCAGAAACATTTCATCAGCTCTTTTAGTGCAATGAACGATAAAGTGTGTGAATGATGACATGACAGTGTTGTTGTGAAGTGAGATCACGGTTTAAGTTTTGTGTAGGATTAAGCGGGGAACAGAGCACGGGGGAAAGTTCTCCCACAGCTTCCTGTTTTCCCTGTACTTTGCTGCCGTTGGCAAGTGCTTCACTGTTTTGTCTGAGGTTATGTTTCCTGTGCGAACAAGGAAGAGATGAGCCCCCTCATACACCCCCCCCCCCTCCCCCTAGTCACGGTTCCTCTATCAAGGAAGTGACACTTTACAGTACAGTTGATGTTGCTTTATGGAAAGTAATTTCTTTGCATTTATGTGTCTTTTATCTCCTCAGTGCAGAAGGAATACCTCATGAGGTGCTAAGGCAGCGAGAGTCAAAATGGCTGGAGATGCTGAACAGCTGGGACAAGTGGATGGCCAAAAAACACAAGAAGGTCTGCTTGATAAACTGCATATTAGATCTGGCCTCAACTCTTTCTTTCTTTGTCAAGCACATCTGGACTTTGCAGGAATTTATCTAATGTGCACTGGGCTGTTTTTGGAGCATGAACATAGTTGCGTCAGCTTTGAAATAAAAGGCAATTGCACTCTGAACCAAACTATGCCGGAAAAACCTGTATCCTGTATCCAATCTATTATAATGTCAGATTCTTAAGATAATGTAGAAACGTTGACAAGCAGAAGAGATGTCAGTGCTCCTCTCTCCTGTTGTTCATTACTCCCGCCTCCTGAAGGCTCTTTAATAACTTTGCAAGTGTTGAATAACAGGTGAAAGAGCGCTGTCAGAAGGGAATCCCTCCCTCTCTGCGTGGACGGGGCCTGGCTCTACCTCACAGGGGGAAAAGTTAGAAGGGAGCAAAACCAGGGCAAATTCCAGGTCAGTTGCATATTTGTGATTCCTTCTACAGTGAAGCAATTTTGTTTTTGTTTTTAAGTATGCCTGTCTGGTACCTGAGCCAAGTCATAGTTATTTGAAAAACTGCTGAGTTTTTTGGAAATAAAAAACATGAGAAGTAAATAATACGTTTTGGAAAATGTCTGACATTCCTAAGAGTTAATCATTCCTAATGCATTTCTTTGGCTTTTTAGGAACTGGACGATCAGCCTGGGGATCCTAAATGGATAGATATTATAGAGAGGGACCTCCATCGACAGTTTCCCTTCCATGAAATGTTTGCGGCAAGAGGAGGTCATGGGTAAGCCTTCTGCAATTCTGCCCATTGGTATGTTACTATGACTGCATAAAGTTAATTGTTGAAAAAAAAAAATGTAAATGTTCAAATATTCAGGCAGCAGGACCTGTTCCGCGTGCTGAAGGCGTATACTCTGCATCGTCCTGAGGAGGGTTACTGTCAGGCTCAGGCTCCAATCGCTGCTGTACTTCTGATGCACATGCCAGCAGAGGTGATTACACACTAACCAGCGTTTTTCCCCACGTAGTCTGTGCGCGCCGTGTTCCGTCGCTCTCACTCTAGTCACTGATTGTGTTTCTACAGCACACACCGCGGTCTCTCTGTGCAGAGTGCCAGCAGCGCCACTCCGCTGTGCTCCGTTCTATATAGGCACGGAGTCGGCTGCAAGCACGCGTCAAGCTGAACAGACTAGATCAACCCGAGCAACGCACAGAGCATCCGGTCAATTTATAAAATGAAACACAAGATAGAGACTCACGATCGTATATTCCATCAGTCTTTTGAACATTATGTCAAAACAGGCACGGGATGAACAGCAAAATCAACCCAAAAAGACAAAGCAACATGTTGTTTGCATATTTTTTTTTTTTTTTGTCTTTGTTCCTGTGTTTACAACTGCTTATGGCTTCACTCCTCTGGACTCACGCTCCAGAAACAGACCCAGCGGCGCTGACGGAACGCAGCATACGTGGACTAAGTGAAAATTGCGGGTTAGTGCCCCATCACACGTCCAGTGCAAAGTGTCTTGGCATGCGGTGCAGGTGTCTTTTCTATTTTACCACCTGACGCAGTCCCAGGGTTAACTTTTAAGGAGCAGCTCTCACGTTATTTAAATAGCATATAAACTTGCACCCCTCTAAGGGCCCAGGGTTGTGTTGGTCTTAAATTAGGTGTTGTTAGTCACAAGGCGGCTCATTCCTGTCTAAACGACTGCACTAAGAGCACAAACCTGGTCTGAAATCAAAAGTGTGGTGCAGCATGTTCCTGCTGCTTAGAGGGCACGTTACGTACCTAGCTCTTAAGGGGTTAGGGTAATGAGAGCTGACACTCGCTGGTTTGAGTCATGTTACACCCAAAGCACACCTATGTATAAACAAGCAACTTAATTTAATCTCCTCGCACCCTGTGCCTCGCTTAGATTGTGCAGCGCGTAACTGGCTAAATGTAGTCGGATACGGCCCAAATCACTTTGCGTCAAACACGCCTCACTCTGTCAAAATAGGACTTTAACAATTCGCCCTTTCTAAACAGGTTTACTCTTATTCGGACATATTTTTCAATTGCATACTCACTGTTTTATGACAGAGTTAGGACAATGACATGTAAAATAAAATGCCTTACATGCTCTGTGTGTCATTGTTACATGTTATTTACAAAATCACTATTTCTCTGTCAAGTTTAAATTGAAATATCACTTTTAAAGAGCCAACCTTGTGTCATTTTTTTTTTTTTCTCAGGATGCTTTCTGGGTTCTGGTCCAGATCTGTGAGAAATACCTCCCTGGATACTACAGCACAGGGCTGGTAAGGCTCCACGCAGACACACAAAGGGGACTTATATTCCATATTGTGTTTCTTAAGACTGCATTTCACACCAGCTCCTGACACGAGGTGCTGACCAGGCTTCATAGTCTAGATAACCAGACAATCACATTATGCAGAAAGAAGACCTCTGTTCCCTCTGTATCTCTCTCTCCACTGACAGCTGGTTCATTTTGCTCCCACAGGAGGCGATCCAGCTGGACGGGGAGATCCTGTACGCTCTGCTGCGGCGGGTGTCTCCTGTGGCCCACCGTCACCTGAAGAAGCACAAGCTGGAGCCCATCCTGTACATGACAGAGTGGTTCATGTGTGCCTTCTCTCGGACACTGCCCTGGGCCTCAGTGCTGCGCGTGTGGGACATGTTCCTTTGTGAGGGTACGGCACGCCATGGACACGTACATCGATATTGTGAATAAGGAAGTGGTTTCACCTGCTGTGTATTTATCTCTTGTGCTCATCTGCAGGACACCGGAGATTAAATACACAGCAGGTGAAACCACTTCCTTATTCATAGCATTATTCAATAGCAGTATTTAGTTTTCCTTCAGGTTATGTCATGCGCTCATTATCTGCCTGTTTAACTTGATGTACGATACACCTAAGCATTAAGGTAACAGGAAATAACCAACACATGAAGCCTCTTTATTATTATGTTAAAATGGAGTCAGGAGACAGGACGGCGCCCTATCTGTGTGACAACCCCACCTTTCATGGTTACGATCCAGGTTTTTTTAATGCTTTATTTCAAACAGGTAGTCTAATTGAGATCAGGTTCAGATGTGTAGAGAAATAGACATATACAGTTTGAAGCATTTATGGACACAGGCATTGCAAGTTCAAGTTTTCATTATTGTCATTTCAGCCATACACAAAGTACAGTGAGAGGATATTTTGTTTCTCTCTAGTTTACATTTTCTCAATTAGGGTAGTATGTGCCGTTGTGATTGCAAGTATACAAGTTCAGTGTTTTAAAATGTTCAAAAGAAATCAGAGTATGTGACTTCATACGTTTGGAGCTTATTCCAATTTTGTTCAAGTAATCAAATTTACTTCTTCACTTTTCTTCCCCAGTGTGAAAAGGAGGTACTGCTTAGGTTAAAATATCCTGTGCGCTGAGAGTTTGAGTACAGTGTTTATATTGCTCTCAAGCAGCTAATTGCACCCTTATGGATGTCTCTATGTAAAAAGGTAAACAAAAACAGCTGCTGTAACCGTATGTTGTCTGATTCTATGCTGTCATCAGGAGTAAAAATCGTCTTCAAGGTCGGCCTGGTTCTCTTGAAATGCATGTTGGGATCCCAGGAGAAACTGAAAACCGCTCAAGGTCTTTATGAAACAATGGAGCTACTCCGTGCTGTAAAGCTACAGTACATGCAGGAAGGATTCCTGGTGCAGGAGGTGCAGTATAAATCCATCATGGCTGTTCTGCATTTTATTGTTCTGCCTCAGCATTTATTGCATGCTCAGCTATCTTCCTCTTAAACTTTGCCCTCCTGTGAGCAACAGCGATAGAAAGAGACTTAACCTGTAGTGTGCTGCAAACAAAAACACCCAGCGTTACTCACGTGAATTACTCTCTTTGTCCCATTAATGTTTCAGGTGATTGAGTTAGCGGTGTCTGAGAAAGACATAGAGAAGGAGCATCACGCTCAGCTCAGGCGCTGGAAGGAGTCCCGCGGAGATCTACACTGCAAGTCCCCTCCGAGGATGCACGGCGCGAAGGCCATCATGGCTGCCGAGCCGCCCAGAAGACAGGACCTGAGGCAGAGGCCCACCATCATAGTGGAGTCTCCCCTGGCACTACAAACAGACGGGGTGAAGGCAGAGGGCGCCACGGAGAGCAGAAAGACTAAAGAGAAGAAAGAGAAGAAAAATGCCTCCTCATCACAGGAGACTGTTAATCCTTACCTTCCTCCCAGTGACCCCTCACCTCTACTCAATCACATGACTGTGCAAGGGTCCAAAGAGAGTCTGAGCAGTGCTGAGCATGACACTTACCTGTAGCAGGGTGAGTGCCAAAAGTTTACTCACACAAATCATTCCGCACAACGTGGCTGTTGTAGTCTAGGCTGTGACAAATTTTAGTAAAGCTATTTTTATGAAGGTAAAACTCCAGGAAACAGTTGTTGAAATAAAACACTTCAACAGTTGGCAAAAATGCCCTTTTTCTTAGACTACTAAGTGTCATTTTATGTGCACAGGCTGTTGTTCTGTGTGGCATTTTGACTAAGAAGCGTAATGAAAATGTACCATAAGATTATTTTATATTTTTAAAGTAGAATGAAACTGATACATGTGTAATTACCAGGGAGTAACAGCAGATGGCGACAACGTGCCTTTTGCATTGATGTCAACGAGGTTTTTAGCCTGTGGGATTGTGAAGCTGTTAGCTTTATATGACTGAATTTATGGGGATGTGAACTCACTAACTCACTGTTAAAAGCTACTTCTGCTATTTACCTTTTATAGCAGAACTCTGTTTATATTATAGTCTTATAAATGAAGTATGGTCCTGTCTGAATTAATGGGATCTTTTCTGGAGCACTTCAAAGTCTTCCACTTTGCCTGCGTTTGTTGCTATGTTGCCATTGCAGAGATTAGTATTTTTCGTGCTTTGCTAGACTCACTCACACTGATATGCAGACACACAGATATGAAGTGTATCTGTTAGGGAGTATCTTTAGACAGTTAGGCTGCATTCAGGAGTTTGTCTTTGCTGTTGCTGAACACTTGAGGGCGTCCTCAGATCATCTTGCAGCCGCAGCCGTGACCAGCAGCATAAACCTTCTCCAGTTGTGTTGATCTCAGATGAAGGAAAGTGTGTAGGGAATATTTGTGCTACAAAGCCAAAGATTTTTTTAATATACTGAGCAGTTTTATCAATCACATTGTGATACTGTATTTGACTGTGTTCAGTATCAGAGAGCTTTTCAGGTTTTTATTTATGATGTGAGGAGATATGGCGAAATGTCATTTTAAAGCACTCTAACACAAAAGTGTTTTTTCACAATTGTGCTGAAAGTTTGTGGCCCCTTAGCCTTTCAAATATTTGATTTCACAGAAAAAGAAAGCTTGAGTCTTACATCAGCCCATACACTCCCATTTTTTTTTAAATTCTTGCATCCTAAACCAGGATGACATGAATGTGCTACATGGTGTTACCTTTTTTAAAACCACTGCCACAATGAGCTCAAAATAAAGGTTTCTTTGTCAACCATAGCTGATTGAAGGCTCTTGTGTAGGCGCCAGAATGAACTTGTAAGAAATCCAGTTGTGAATAAATTTAAGCAATAAAAGGTATTCGAGGGAGACATAAACCTTCAGTGGTGTAGTGGTGCCTAAATAATTGGGTATACTCTTAATTTTTTCCCCACAGTTTTACTTTTTAAGGGGCCGGTCCAGCAGAGTATAAGCGGCCTCTGTTATTAACAGTGGTAAGATTACACAGTTGTAAAGTACTAGTCAAGTAGAAACAGAATAGGGAGAGTCATCTCTTCACCATCCTAGGAAACAAAACTGCAGCATACTACTGAATATTGTCAATTAAGAAGTGGGTATGCCCTATTGAGACTGAAAAATAACTGGGTATACTCTGCCTGAACTACACCACTGACTTTAGGTGATGAGCAAACAGTTTGTGTTGATATTCATAGTATCTGACTTGTTTCAAAGAAGAAATTCTTGAATATAATCATAAACAATCACCATTTAACAATCTTCTTCCTGGACTGTACTTAATCAGCAGTTAAAGTGTAATTGTACTACTACTAACAACAACAACAACAACAACATGTATTGTAAAGTGTTTTGTAATAAAATATTTTTTGTTTTTTTGTGATTTGAAAACATGTAGAGATTTTTTTTTTTAAGTATGTGCTGGGAGTTGATTGAGAAGCACTGTGTTCCTGCCACATCCCTGAATCTTTAAACAATGTTGTTCCAATCTGTAGCAAGAACATGTGCCATAATGCCACAGTGGGGCAGGTTATGGGTTGACTTTCTACGTTGAGTTTTCTCTACTGTCGTGTAGATGGTGCTACAGAGCTTCATTCAGGGATTCATATAACTAGTGACTCAGTCAATCTGAAGGATACAGGCTGTACAAGATGTTCTTGCCATCTTAAAACAAAATGTTTGAATGTGATTGAAATGAAAACTGATGAAATCCAAATACTAACCACTCCAAAAGGAAGGTAAGAGACCCATTATAACTGAATCTAATGAGAACAATCATTTAGCCGGGGCTTGTAAATGTGCAACTTATCAATCCGTCTCCATAGATACGTATACAGGACTTTTATTTCTGATCTTTTTTTCCCCATTTGATTTGACATTCCTTATCTGCATACTGTTTTATACTGAGTTACATTTAAATCAATAAAATGTGAAACTCTTGACGTTTGCAGATCCGTCTCCTATTTTCCCTGCCTCTTTTGCCTTTATGTGATATCACAGAAACTGAGACAAGAAAAGCAGTGGAGCGCAGACTGCACTGAACTAGCGGGGCTTCAATGCACCCTGTGTTATCATTCAGCACCCTAACACCCGCCTTCACTCACCCACGCAGCAGCACACTTCCTCGGACACCTGTTTCTCCGGCTCTTTCAGCTCCTTGAGGAATTTGCATCTCAAATGGGGCAAATTCCCACAGCAGCGTCCAAAGAGCCTCACGCAGACATTTGCCTTTAGTTTCTCAATGGAGTCTTCTGCGTGTATTAAGACTCCTTCTTCAGCTTTTCTACTTCTCTTTCTTCTTCATTAAGGCAAAAAAAATCCCTCCTACATGTTCATACTATTTTACTTTATCGTAAGCACATGATAGATCCTTTTGCAGACGATTGCATTAATATGGTTATTTGATTTCTCCTATACTTCAGCTTTGAATATTTTATTGGAAGGAAAGATGAATAGGATTTTGATTTATTACATACAACTATCAGACAAGATGATGATTGAGATTTTTAAAAACTTTTCCTTCTCTTCCTCAGTGGCTTTTCTATTTCTATAATAATCCATCATTTGTCTGATGATGCCTGTCATTAGAGCATTTTTGTATTCCTGCCTCCTCTCATCATCTCTGTTCTGACTCCACTATTTGTAAACAATGCAATCTTGTCCACCCCTTCCCAACCCAACTCAAACCAGCGCCACCCTACTATAAACCCCACCTGTCTGTCTCCCCTGACATCCACAACTCCCGGACCTTGACTGTAGAGTGTGTAATGGGAGACTGGCTTTATGGAGATGTGACCCAGACATGCCCCTATAATCTCTCTCTCTCTCCCAGAAAGCCCAGCAGAATTTGTCGATTTTGTGGTACAATAAGCTGTTGCTGGGGAAAAGTTTGCAGGAACATCGCGTTGCACTCATTGCTCCTACCATTTGTACCATCCAAATCACAATTTAATACACAAATAAAACCATTTACTGAGGAAATCAGGGCAACTCATTGTTTGGAGAGGCCATTGCTCAATATCCATGTTGCTGCTGAGGCCACGTTCAGACTGAAACTGGTCCATGTTAAAAAAAGAAAAGAAAAAAACTCACAAGGGGCCATGTTAGTGCAAACATGTTACTACAAGTACTGGTGAGAAGATGAAATATGATCCAGGAGTTCCAGTTCTATTAACACTCCACATCCAAGGGCTTTAAACCTCATCAGATACAGAAACCCTACACAGTAGTTTATTACATTTGGGTCCTTGAGCAAAAGCAATCATTATATTCTCCATCGAGTCGTCATTATGTGATCAAACATTCTACTGGGAAACTTCTTTTGCCCACATATTGGTCGGCACTGTATAAAGTGAATTGTGATGCAGCAAAACTAGAGAGAGGGTAAGCCCTCCTTTGTTGCAAATCTCCCACGTTTTATCGTCTGAAGACAATCCCTTTCTCTCTAATAAAAACATGTTCGTACTTTTTCCAGCAGTCCCGTTGCAATGACTCAAAAGGCCTCCGAAAATGCAGTTTTGACCATGTGTTGCTTTCTTGAGAACAGGACAACAAACAGAACAACAAGTGGTTTCCAAATATACTTTCATTGTTCACATCGCTGCTAATATTGCACAGTAGAAATGTTTTCTTCTGTGTAAACTTTACTGACTGAACAAGTAAAGTCATCGGCTGCTCGTGTGGGATTGCCATTTAACTTGTCTTAATCACATTTATCAACATTATGTTGCTTGAGGTGTAAGCCAAATTGCATTCATCCCCATATTCTTGTCGGTTTTTAAGTACATCTGATCCTAAATTGATTCCTGATTCCTAAAAAACAGGAAATGCAGAAATTGGTCTTTGTCTTTGCCTTTATATGCCATTTAAAACGCAAGGTCACATGTTTACAGAAGATGGCACATTTAAAATAATCTAACACATATGAAAGACATCCATATGTGAACCAGCTTCTTTCCACAGGCCGTAAAGATGGTTACAAAGCTAACACCCTGCTCCTGAAATCCACACAACATGCTCTCTTTCACATTATTTCCATAAGATATTTTATATTTTTTTATGCCTCATTTTAATTTATGCACTGATTACACTATTGTTTACATTGCATGGGTCCCTTATAGAGTTGCTTTTATTGTGTTAGATTTGTTTTTAAATGATCTGTTCCTAAGGCATGTTATTCAATTATTTGTTCTCTTCTCAGTAATTTATCCTAAGACACAATTTATTTCCACTGAGTGTATGTTACATAGATATGGATGAAATGACAAAACAAACTTGAACTAAGTGTTCTTCATTCACGGTGGGTCAACATGTGCATCTGGGTCTGTTATTCACCTGTGACAATGATTCTTAACTGACAGAGAAACATCAGCAAACACACTGAGCTCTGACTCTCCTGCAAAACTTTGTAAACTTACAGAGGGAGTAATAAGAAGCACCGCCAAACTACAGACCTTCCTTCTGCAGTACTGCAGTATCACTCGTTTCCTGACTGCATCCAATTAAGCACGTTGTACCCTGTTTGGGTTAAAGCTACAGATAGGACGTTTTAGCAGGTTATGAAACTGACTGAAATTAATTCTAACGACACCATATCATCTATGAAAGCAAGCGAGACCAGCATCAAGACTGACTATTGTACATAGTTATTTTTAATGCCTGAAACCACTGCTGAGGGGTCGGTGGCAGACGAAGTAATAAACAGCACCCAGCAAGAACAGCTGTCTTCATTTTTTACATTTACCCCCAGCAAATATTTGCACAGAGTGATACATTTGACAGTGAAAGAAAGCAGGATAAGGTTCCTTTGTCAGAAAATACTGTACCACATTGTCCACAGGGGGCGCTGAAATCAACACAAACTGATGGTTCCTCACAGGAACTTCAAGAATAAATCATCAAAGTTGATTCCTATTTTTTTTCCTGCTCTTCATTTTGACTATATGACTTTATTGACAGCTTACATCCCACACAAGTGATATCTGTTTATGTACTGTTTATAGTTGTTTATTGGGGATTGGTGGATAGAGTCGGGTGGATAAGCTCTTGAGAACATATGTGTGAAGCGTCTGGAAGATTAAAGTCTGGCTTCAGGAGCTGAAAAGCTCCGCTAATGCTTTTTGGTAACGAATACCCTTATCCGCGGCCTGCCATCCCCAATCATGCCCAAAAGGGGGGGGGGGATTATATGGGGGAGAGGTCAGAGTCACACACCCCAACTGTGACAAGTTGATAATAGTTTAAATGGTCAGATTAGACTGCAGCTGGTAAGTCTTTTCTGCAGTTTGAAAATGTATGCATGATGTGATTTTTGTCCTAAATGATTGTCTATAATCTGTGTTCTCCTTTTTTCCCACTCTCTGCATATGTGATGGCACAGAGGATTGGCACCTCGTGGTTGCTCTTATTGAGGACTTTTTACATTTTCGGGGGGTTAATTCTTTGATGAAAAGTAGTTGAGCTGCATGTGTGGGACAGGAAACAAAGTCAGAGTGGAAGATGTCAGGGGTCGGACAGATGCTCGTTCAGTGAACAGTGGACAGGATGTGCATGTCCTTTTATGGTTTTCCTCAGGATAACAGTAGCTGGACATGGAGACCCAATGATCTCAGATGCATCAGTTTTTTTGACACTGGGTTATGATTCGCTGGAGGAAATGATAAGGCACACCTGTTTGGTTTAAGAGGGGATCCCCCTGATCTTTTGTGGCTGAACGTCTTATGAATCATCCTTAGACTGATTTATGCGGCTTGGTGCACATTGCAAAGTAGTTTCATATATACATCCAAGTTATTGTCCCATGGTAAGGTCTTTCGACGGGTCATTTTCTTCAAAGAAAAAAAAGTGCATTATAGTAGGATTCCAGACAGGCATATGTGCAAATGATTCTCCTGTATGAATGATACATTGGCTGAGTTTCACAATACAAAAAATGATGTGCAACACTGGATACATGATAGCTTTAGGTCAGTGTAGAGGTAAAATGTTGTTATATACTGTTATATGTGGTACTTGTGACATAAATGATGGTAACATGAATTGAAGTGACAAATTGGCCAAAGTTGACAGCAGGATAACGGAAAGAAAAGAAGAAAGCGGGATAATGTCAGACAGAGGTGAGAAGGAGTTAAGAGATGAAATGCGACGAGGCAAAATTGCAGTGAATAAAAACATTAATCCAACACTTTTTATGGTATTTTCTTCATCATAATGATTGTCTTGCAATATTTCAATTATGACAGGATCGCTGTATAATGATATTACCGTCATTGTGGGCCAAGTATCATATATCATGTCGTAGTTTATCAAATCGTGTTGTATTAAACATATCTTGAGTTATCCTCTAATTCCCACCCACCTCTAACAATATGTCTTTCCTCTTTCTTAAATCTGGACAAATTAGTACATTTTCTCACATAATCACGCTTAGATTACTAAGTGTGATCTAATCTCCTTGGTGTTGTAAAACATCATATCTTCTCATAATCTAGATTCTTTACACTTGATTTCAGCTTGTTTGAAGTCACAAGCTCCTGGTTTCACATTATACAACTCAGAGACGTATCAGGTTATCTGTTTGAGGGACCTCGCAGTGACCTCTGAACTGCTCAACAGCCTCTCCCCTCCCCGACTGAACCACGATGTTGACTCCTGCAACTTCCTGCAAAAAAAACAACTTTCTTCATTGATTTGTAGAAGTTTCTATAGATTTGTTTTCTTGTGCATGACTGTTGTGCAGT